TAACAATGCATATGATTATGTATGCTTGGGTTGGATTGTTGGATGTTTTTCTACAACTTCCATTTTAGGGCATAAGTTGGTTTAATCGATAGAAACTGAGTTTTTACGATTCAAAATGAGGATAAGTGGTATAATTTAGTCAGGGGATGTTAGAATAAAGTTACAGAAACTTGTTCGGTGAGAATCGATCGGTTTTGGAGAGATTTGTGAAAGTTGACATTGAGGGTTTTGAAGTTCGCAGTTATTCGCTAGCGTGTTCGCTAGACGAGCTGGTAGCGAACGTTCGCTAAGCGAGCCAGTAGCGAACGGTCCCAAACTTGGGCAGAATGTATTTGGTGGATTTCGCTGGTAGCGAATGAAGTAGCGAAGGTTCACTAGGCATTCGCTGAGCGAGCGAGGTAGCGAACGAAGTCAGTAGCTTCTGTTTGCCTTCGCGAGCTTGTTCGCCGGGCGAACAAGTAGCGAGCACTCGCTAGGGGCTCGCTGAGCGAGTAAGGTAGCGAGCATGACAGGATGTGATTTTCTTGTGTGTTCCATCCGAGGTCGGTTTTCCGATTTGAGTGTGATTAACCCTCTCTCATGAGGCGATGATTTGTATTGTGATATGTTATACTGTGGGTAGCCTTATGGCGTGAATCCTAGATTATGAATTGATTGTGAATTATAGCCTTGGGCAATATATAATGAGTTGTTTAAATTGAATAAGAATGCATGATGAATTGTGATTGAGTTATTGTCGTTTGGCACGATATTGGAATGCATGGGAACATTGTGAAATATGTGCATTGTTTGTGATTGCATGTGAATAATGCATGGGAACATATCATGAATATGTGTGCATTTTTTGATGATGTGATGATGTAAGTATGATTATTTTGATAATATGAATATGTTGTGTGTGCAATCATGTTATAATTCTTGAAGGGATGAATTATGTGAATGCATGGGATTAAGACGAGTGAACGGTCTTAAGTGCATTTGGTTGTTGATTGCATATGCATCATTCAGTCAAGAGGCAATGCTTGCTAGTTTCGCGGAGACTAGTGACTTGTCCCAAATCTAGAAGGGTGGGTTTGAAAGCTTAGGGAACAGGCTTTTGTTGTTATCGGTCTAGAAGGGTGGACCCGGTTTAAGTGTAAAAACCGAAAAATGATAACAAGTGTTGGTACCACATGGCATGAGTTGCATTGAGTTATGTTGAGTCACATAGCATAATTGTCATTGTTATATGAAATATGCTTTCGCGTGGAATTGTGGATTTATGGTTGTGTGCATGATGAAGCATGTTTGTGATTATCCATATGTGTGTATACATGTTGTGACGTATATGATAATTGAAATGAATTGTGGTGAGAAATGTGGAATATATATATATATATATATATATATATATATATATATATATATATATATATATATATTATGATTGGGTATGTATATATATAATTATATGCATTGATTATTATGATAATGTTTCTCACCCTTCTGTTGTTTTATAATGCTCTATGAGGCATTGCAGATTAGGTTGTTGGAGGTTTCTTTTTGTGAAGTATAGCTTTATTATTTTGTGTCAGACTGCTCTGATGTGTAACACCGGGTAGTTAGGCTGTATAACATTCTTTTGTGATACATTGTATATGTATCTGGGGATGATGTTTTGTAAAAACATGAATAATATTGTGAGCCGAACTTGATGCTGTGTATTCCTATGATAACATGTCTTATATGATTTAATGTTTTAAGTATTCCGCTTTAATTTAAAATATTGAGGTGTGGGCGTAAGGACGAAGTTCCTCTATTTGAAAACTACCCCACTGTTACATGTCTTTAGTAGAGCAGGTGTTGTATGTTATTTGGTGATTATGTTACATGCTTCTTTTATACCATATTTTAATTAAACTCTGATGAAATTTTTTTAAATGTGTTTAAATATTTATTTGATTATTTGGGGGTATAGAAGGGGGTGTTACAGAAATCATGGTGCATCTCGTGGAAACCTATGGAACCTCAACAATGCACCCCCAATGTTGGATCAAAGCCTGAGTTAACTACGAACTTGTGGTATTCGATTGTCATTAACTATGAACTTGCAGTAGCCTTCTAGTGTTGATCCCAGATTCATCATGGCAAGAGTGGAGAGTATATGCGAAGCCAGGTCTGACAGAGAGCTATGAGGCACGAGTCTAACCTTCATGGAAATTATCTTCATGCCCCGACATAACCCTGGATATAGATTTGGGAGTCTTCTTCTTGCTGATTTGCGGATTTCTTAAGGAAATTGGAGATCAAGTATCCGATAGGATGAAATAGAAGTGGTAGTTGATCGGATCGACCGCGGTGGATCTCTCTGTTCGCCTCTGAACATTTCTCGATTCTAAGGTCTGAGAAGGTGACGATAGACGAAGAAGGAAAACACAGAAATCAAAGGTTGTTTCACTTTCGATTCGGTAGCTTGTGGAAGTTGTAAGCAAGGGAAACATAGATCTGGATTTGAACTATCATAATCCAGATCTAAATTTTTTGAGTTTGTTCGATGGCATTTGCGAAGAAAAAGTGATTCTTGTGGAAATCATAGGAACCAGAATTCAATTCCCATGGACAATGCCACTGCTCCGTTCTGGAACAAGAAATGGAGAATATTACGGAAGCTATGATGGAATGAAGCTTTTCAGTGATGCGACTTCTTGGACCGCAGGTTGCGATCCTGATGCATCTTGAATCGGAGACGTTGATCTTGAACTGGCATTGTTAATCTTTCGTTGTGGTTGGAGTGCCTGCATGGTTAGCACTCGAATATCCAATTCAATTTAGGGTTCAAGATAATCACAATGAGAGTGAAGATTAAAGATTGTGCACTTAATACCCTTTTATAACTGTATTTATACGTTAGACTCAATGGAGCAGACAAGATGAGTGAATCTTATTTTATTGAGTCTTTAACCAGCCCAGAATAAAATGTTAGTGTGTATTTTAAAACTAAAAAAAAGGTATCTTCATTTTAACAAATACTTAGAAAAGTGAATACAATTTTCTATAATTTAAAAATTGACTACTTTTATTAAGATTTGCATTTTATAGTCAAGCACATCTTTTCATAGAGAATCAGTAGAGAATAAATTTTACACATAATCATTTATAATATAGGAATCATTTATCACAATTAAAAAATTTAAACAAAATTTTATAGACAAAGTCACATTCTAGATATGAGTGACATCACATTCATATAAATATAAATATTTAATAGAAATTATATAGAAAATCTTAACAATTCACTCAAATTTAGATGCTATAAATATAATCCACATATTTAAAAGAAAACCTATTAAATTACACAATGAAATATAGATACTTTAATTTAAAAATAGTTGAGTATATAACACATATTTAGATGCTACACATATTCGTTTTACTTATAACATAAGACTATAAATCTCCATAACATAAAAGGATATTATATCAAACAAAAAGTATTTGTTACTCGTTTCTACATCATTGACATGTAAAATTTGTCCATTTAACAGAAAATAATAGTTGATTTATTATTCTAAAAATTAAAAATTGTTTAAAAGATAAATTACAATCTATTTTACAAAGAAAATAACATCACACTATATTATTGTATATGTCAATCACTTACATAAAATAAATAAAAGATATTATATTAAGAATTGTCCATTGATATTAATAAAAATATATTTATTAAACTTTTTATTACTTTTTTTAATAAAAACTTTTTATAAATAAATTTTTTAACTTGTGTCTGAGACACAAGTTAGTATCATTAAAAAAAAATTACAAAATAAAGATAAATTCTTATTAATTACTAATCTTAATTAAAAGTATCAAGTAAGAAATTTAACGACAATTTACAAATATTACGTCCAGATAAAATGTTTCAATACCAACTAGTTATACGAACTATAATTCACATTAACATGTTCAATTCTAACCAATTATATTAATTAAAACATGATCATAAAATATGATCATTACTAACTAATATTTATCATAATTAAAATAAATTTAATTTTTTTATTAATAATTTATGAAATTGTAGTGTGATATGTAAAATTACAATTGTACAACTTAAAAAATGGTTACTTAATCATTTAATTTATATCAAGTAATAAGATTATAACATTAAAAAGAATATATAACAATAAATCAATTGATAGTATTAAAAAGACTTTTTACATTAAGAATATTATATAAAATAACAATATTTTTTATAATTTTTTAATTTTTGTCACATTCATATTTTTAAAAGGATAGTTAATATTAGGGTGGACAAAAATTTTCAAACAGGCCCAATCCATGAGGTCCGACTTTTTAAATAATAGTATTAAGTTATATGCAATCATCAAGAGGTTGAAAATAAATTATAACTAATTTAAGAGAATGTGACATTCAACCTCAATTCATAAAGGAGAATAGGGTTGTTACGGGGATTAGCTTCAAACTTTGGCATATAAGACTTGCCCAACACATGGAATTTTAGGCACATCTACAATTCTAGATATTTCTAAACAATTCAACAAGTTATTTATCTTAATGATCCAAGTTATTAATCTCAGTGATCAAATTGAAAATTTCAAATTTTTGTGTTTGTATGTCACTATTATTACAGGGTAGGATTTTTTTTTTTAATCCTGAATCTTCACAAGAGAGAGGAGAACATTGAGTGACTTTGCTTGTATGGTGACTTTGTAACTTTAATATTAGAGAGATGAAAGAATAGTTAAAATAAGTTTTTTGTTGAGAGAGTGAGATTGATTTAGAGGGAGATAGAGAAAGTTACATAGTCACCAAAATCCAAAATCACTAAACCTGTTTATCTACACCGACTATCTTGTCATCTTGGTAATATTTTAGTTCAATCAAGTATCCTCCCCCCAAATAAAATTGTAAAAACAAAGGCATCTTTGTTGATGTAAAAACAGAAAAACTCCAACCAAATTGAAGCACGTTGGTGTGCTTCAAGTCAAAGCACTTATCATCTATTGCCACCTTTTTGCAGTCTTGCTTTCTGAACGAACAGGAGGAGGCGTTCTGGCATTTCTCTCCTTCTCATCTACACACGTGAAACCAAATACAATTACTCTAGTATTAATATTAAGAGTAATAAAGGATCAAAAATTATTCTTGACAATATAAATGACTTTTGGGGGTCAAATCAGTCTCCATGATTTTGCATAATAACTTACATGCTACATGGTCTGGCTTCGCTCCAAGAGAGGATCTTCGGCTATTGCTAGGCCCAGATGGAATTCCTGTTAAAGATTGCCTCCTTTTTGTCCTCTCACTAGTTGCTATTGGAGACTTTATCTGACTTGCATGAATGCTTCCCTTGATAGGTGACTTCACTTCAACCGTAGTATGTTGGCTTCTGCATATTTTTCAAAGTAGAAGATTCAGTAAGAGTTGAAAACATATTTCAAAGTGAAAAAGGTTAAAACACTAAAATATACCTTTTATCAGGGCCACTAATAAGTTTCCCAATTGTTCTCAGGGATCTTCTAAACTGTGACCCTTTTCCGATCGTGCTACCTATCACATTTGTTGTTGTGGAATCAGCAACATCACCTGTCACAATTTTGTTTGAATCATTTTTATCTAGCAGTGTAGATTCAGGTGTTTGAGGTAGTTTCGGAGGGTGAATTTGGACTGCATCATCAACTTCTATCAAACTCTTCGGATAGATTTTTCTAGAACTTGGAGGAACTTCAGCATGCAATGCTGATGTGGAACTTTCATTGCTCAATTGGCCATTTAGCTTTGACACTGCTTCTGGATCTCGCTGTGGATGATATTTCTGTTGAGACATTGGCTCAAAGTGTAAAGTTTTATTTACTTCAACGGATGCTTTTTTTATAGTTCTTGGACCTTCCAAGCTTAGTCTTCTTGAATGGGGAATGTAAGAAGAGGACGACTTGGCTCCACTTTTATCCTCAGCATGCAACTCTGATATGGACTTCTCATTGCTCAATTGGCCACTTAGCTTTGACACTGCTGCTTCTGGATCTTGTTGTGGATGATATTTCTGTTGAGACATTGACTCAAACTGTAGAGTTTTATTTACATCAGCAGCTTTTTTTATAGTTCTTGGACCTTCCAAGCTTAGTCTTCTTGAACGGGGAATGTAAGAAGGTGACTTGGCTCCACTTTTATCCTCAGCTTTCACAGGTTTGTCGGTCTTTGTCATGCTAGAATTTTCAATACTAAGTCTTCGAGGTCGCAATGGAGTTTTTTCTAATGGAGTCCGAGGTTCCTTAGTTCTATTGAACATCGGTTTTGAATTTTCCTTGTTGGCCAACTGAGTCTTAAGGTTCTCAACCTAGCATTCATACCAAAAAAAGGGAAACATGGTTACTTAACTTTTACAACACAATGAAGCAACCAAAAGCTTTCACAGAAAAATGAAGCAACCAAAAGCTTTTACAGAAAAATGAAGCAACCAAAAGTTGTATTGTAACTTAAAGTGACATTCTTACCTGTGCTTTGAGTTGCATAACCTCACTGCTTTCTTTATTTATCCGGGCTGCCCCAAGCTCCACGGTAGAAACCCTCTGAGCAAATTTTAGAGTACTCACTGTTTCACTAAAGGAATCTGCTTCGGGACTCACATGCGCAAACATCAAAGTTTTAGCATGTCCGCCTATAATGCAGAAATTTTCGAAGAAAACGTTAAACATATTGTCATATGGTGAAAAAATCAAAGTAGAGTCTCCAAAATTTTTCTCTGACATAATGTACTAGTGTGTAGTACCTAAGGAATCCTGCAAAAGAAGTGTGAGTTTGCTGTTCCGGTAAGGAATGTGAGAATTCTTTTGAGCCAGTGCTGTGATCACATCACCCAAACAAGAAAGAGACTTGTTAATATATTGTGCTTCCTTTAGTCTATCTCCTGTGACTTCGGACTTGTCCACTCTTTCACTTCCAGCAAGATCTACTAAATGAAGGCAACTGCGAATAGAGTTGCCAGACGTGTCTTTGCCATTAATATGGACAGTAAGTACACTGAAACATGAAAAGCTTTATCTATAAGTGGCTAAATTAAACAAAAGCATTATGTAAAGAAATGAAATCACTAGCACTCATGAAAAGTGAAAACTTACCTGTGGGAGCGACTACTCCTATTGTTGATTGCAGTAGAACTGACAGCGCGATTAACCTCGCCAAGTTTCATAAAGGTCATAACATCGGTTGTTGACTTCACAGGCCGCAATCTAGCATCCGGGAGACTTAAACCATCTTCATTGCAGCTCCGGATCTCTAATTTGAGGTTAGTTAAGGAGACAAACTACTAGAAAATACAAGATCAAAATACTTAAACAATAAAGCAGATTTCTCTACCTTGTCTTTAGAACAACATTATTACTATTTCTGACCCTATTGAATAATAATTGATATGAGAAAGGATATTTGTTTTCAGTTTTTTCTTCTGCAAGTAGGTCTCTTACTTGTTCATTGTAAATCTCAACCATTTGGACATAAATGTCATACTTTATGGTAGCATCCCTTTCATTAGACATATGAAACAAATCATTAAGAGCCAGGTAATTAATTCCCATATCCTTTGATGTTCCACATGAAGGACCACTCTGTCATGGAAAAATATTATATAAGGCACATTTTTTCTTATTTTTAATTCAATTTAAAATGATCTATAGTCTTCTAACTGAAGCAAGTTTATGTCAAGAATCTTACCATGGTATGAGTCTTCCCAGAACCAGTTTGACCATAAGCAAAAATACAAACGTTGTAACCGTCCATCACAGATCTAATTAATGGTTGAGTGTCTCTATAAACCTCGTCTGAATTCAAAATTGTAAATTTCAACAAAGAGAAGAAAAATAGAGAGGGAAAGTAACGTTGGTTAGATATGCACACAAGTTATATACTATTTATTTAGCTTTTAGAACTCTACCTTGACCAGCTGTTGGACCAAAAACCCGATTAAATTGAAAAGATTTTCTTCCACCTGTTTTTGATGGATCTAAAATAAATAGAGAACCGTCTTCACCAATGAAATCAACCACATTCTTGGATTCGACCCTGAATGCAGGTTTGATTCTGCAGTACACTCGTATATTACCTGCAAGTTGAAAAGGTAAGCAAAATCAACTTAGAGGCCAAGGATTGTAAAAAAGAAAGTGACCTTTTATATTTTAAGCACAAATAAATCTCAAAGTAAACCAACCTACCTTTCAAATCTTGGACCATGTTGTATAGTTTTCTATTCTCTTCCACTACTTTGTGATATCCAACGGCTTTGGCTGACATCTCATTTACTAGACTTCCTGGATTTACGAAGCAAAGCTAAATCATTAAAAACTATCACTCTTATTTTGTTAATGATGATATTAAAGTTAAGAAGCTGGCAAAGTTAATAGATATGCATACCTATATCATTGAAAAATCTCTGAAACTGTGATTGCATCTCTTCAAATTCATTCTTAATTCTCAACTTTAAAGCCTTAAGATCCTGAATAAATATGTGATTTACAATTGTATTCTCAAAAATGCAGGCGGTTTCATGCTTGAACTAAAAGTATGTACTATATATTGTCTCAAAAATGCAGTAGAAGTCTTTTGCAAAGTGCACAAATGCCTACCCGAAGTTCTTTTTTCTGGATGTCTATGAGAAGCTTGTGCTTGCATGTGCACTTTCCAAGGCAAGCTCTGTCGCACTGTATGAAACGCACAATGTCCAAATTAGCATTCAAAATTTGACATAAATGTAGTGAAGAAAATACTAGGGAAAAAAGAATTTAACTAAAAGTTCTTTTAGGGAAAGCACACAACATGTAATGTTCTCGCAATCTGCGGTCAATGCCGGTTGAACTTTGACAAAGACTTTAACTTGATCAATTTAAATTCGTATTTGAACAAAAAAGAAAAGTTACAGAAAAAAATGGTACCTTGTAACTTTTAGGTGTAGAGAAAGCATCTGATTTTGTGCTTTTGGTAGTGAGATGAGTTGGTAAGCTACTTCCTTCTTTTATAAAATTCTTTAGTAGCAATGGCAACTGTTTATAGACCATAAGTCTTTTGTTATGTATCATAAGAAAAGCTTTGGAATATAAAGAACATATTTACATTCACAACATTTAATGAAATTATCCTTTTTAAAACATTTAAATTGTTTTTCCATAACAGAATGAGCATGCAATCTATTTTATGGAACAAGACAATAACCGTTATGTATCTCCATAACCGAATGGTTTTGTTTTCAATTATTTATCTTAACCTCACATAGTTAGCAGCATATGACTCATTAAGAATTAGCACAAAAAAGGATTGCTTTGGTGAATTTTCAACTAACCTCAGGGAACTTCGTAGATGGCTGTTCCCCACAACAACTATTCAAAACATGATTAAATAGGTTTATTGGATCCTGCAGTAAAGACAAAGCAAGGTTTAGGTGGGAAACAAAACACTCATTTGCTGGCGAATGCATGTCAATATGTTAATGCTAATTTATGATTACCAGGTCTCCATTACAAATAGAAGCAACAAGCTTTCCATCGACATTTTCTTTGGCATCAAGCATTCGGTCAACTAGTATCTTGACAAGTGATTCCATATTTTCTGTTGCATCCGATGAAAATAGTAGCATGAATACAGTTATCCAGGTGAAATTGGGAATATTGGGACAGTTTATCAAGGTCTGTATAGATAAACATCAAAACAAAATATACACACACATGCTTTTTTGGTCAGTTGTCCTGGAGCAAAATATCTTAACTTATTGCTTTTCCAATGGTAAGAAATGAGTGAATCATTCAAAAGGTTAAGTATTAATTAAAGTAGAAAATTAGCCCATGATGTACACAACAAATCAAAAATATTTTCAACTATTTATTCCTGGAGCCTAGGTTTTGAAAATTTATGACAAGGCAAACGAAGAAAATAAGATCGAAAGCAGGAATTTTTTAAATGGAACATATATATAGCTTTTACTCATTAATGAATTGAATGTTGTGATTTCAAATAAAAACTTTACAATTGATAACTAGTGAAAATTATAGTAAATTTCTACATGTTTAATTATACAGACAAGGATCATATCAATCAAGGTCTCCAGTGTTCTGAACTAATTCTCCTTAAAAGTGCAAAATGCCAACATCAGCTATAGGCTTAAAATTAAATTCAAATTCAAACCACTGAAAAAAGATACTAATATGAATTAATAAGATTGATAAATTGAACCTTCTCGTGTTTGATAATTACTCTCAACAGGAGGCTTTTTTTCAGATGTTGCAGACAAATCCAAGCGCCTGCAAGCCTCAGAGGGTAATGCAGTTGCGGCACTTTGTTGCATTCTATTAATTGATTGCATAACTAAAGGAGACTTCAAGCGTTTGCTGGATCCACTCTGATTGTTCATCTGCTTCGACTCATGAAAACATTTCAGAGATAGAATGCAATCAACAATTTTTACTGCTGATCCATTCTCTACACTTTCCTGTAAACAAATGACCAACGCACTTGTTCAACCATGCTAATCTAAAGCCAAAACAAAAAGCTTAAAACACAACTAGATTTATTCAAGGTTTTTAAAACAATGTCCATGACCTAAGCCACTACTAATAATGTCTCTACGACCACAATGCAACCTCCATTGAGGCCGCATTACCACATTCGACTGCGATTGCTGTCATTTCAATACGCACAAAATTTATTTATAAATACACTCGCGCACACATAATTACACTGTTTGCACACACATATGAAAACAAGCACTGTGGCATTTGGACATGCATATAGAAAATGTGGACACCATATAAACAATAACATACCTTTTCAAGATCAGAAGCTTCAAAAGCTGAAAGCTTTAATTCTCCGGCAGCATTAAGAAAGTTGCGAACATTTTCAAAATACTGATAGGCAGGCAAAGGCTGGGAATCCCAGGCAAGTGATTGTACTGGTACTTGAGTATCCACTATCTAACAAAATCACATAAACGTATATAAGTCAAAATTAAAAACAAAGTGTCTTATTCAAACAGTCAAATTTCTCAATTAGAACATTCAATTTAATCGAAACACGCAACTAATCATTCTATACAGTATCAAAATATAACCATACACGAGAATATTTGATTGCAATACCTTCGGTATTGCTCCCGGATGAATCTTGTTAATGGCCTTGCAAAGAATTAGACCATTTCTCAGGCAAGAAACAAGTTCTCGCTCCGACGGTTGCTTAGATATTCCAAGAGGACCAACTTGACTTTCTAGCCATTGAGTTGCCTCATAGCGTCTCAAAGCTGCACAATTCAAATCAACATTGTTACATGTAACACAATCAAAATCGAAATGTATATTGTAATAATGAGACAAATTGATTTAGGGAAAACATTAGAAATTAACCTGCTTCTCCAGCTTTTCTTGAAGCCATATTAAAATCATGAACTCCACTTACTGACGAATTCTCCATCATGATCATCAAAAATCAAATATCAACAACGATAGGAAAAAAAATGAAGAAACCTAAAATCTTTAATCTTTAATCAAAAAAGCGCAATTTGACATTTTTTCAACAAACACAATCAAGCTGAAGAACCAGAAAGCAAAAAGGGAATTTGTGAAAAAAGAGAGTGTGATTTGTGAAGTTGGAAATGGGACAGTAGTGTAGTATTTTGGTTCGGGTTTAGCTTTGGGTTCCGAACCTTAGGTACGGAATCGTAACGTTATGTCGATTATTTGAATTCAAACTGGTAGGACACGTTCATGGACCCGCGGAGGCAATGATAATATGCCGTCCGTTTTGATTACTAAGTCAATTCATCAAACGGTGTCAGTTTTTTTAAGAGAAAAAAAGTCATAAATTTATAGTTTTTATTTAGGAACAAACGAAAAAAAGTCTTGTTAATTAATATTTTATAGCACTCTTTAAATGTTTTTAATAAAAAAAGTTGTCCTTTAAAATATTTTAAGATCTTAACTATCAATACATTAAATATATATGAAAACTTGTTGTTTAAAAATAATACATTTTGTTTAATTTTTTTTTTTTTTGGGTCTAACATTTTTTTTAATTTTAGTGATAACAATCTTTTATTTCTATACTATTTTCCTATTTGTGTGTTTAAGTAATTTAGATTTATAGCGCCATGATCACACAAATATTACTATTTCCTTATTATGGTGACAAATTTGTCCATTTGGATTCAAAATTGTGAGATTATTA